TCAGTTAAGACCACTATCTGATGGCAATCAAAATAGGGCCTCAGCTTCCGAGCAGCTACTACTACTGCGAAAGCAACTTTCTCGAGTAGTGGATAGCGAGTCTCAGCATCCGTCAGTGTATGACTGACGAAGTAGATCGGTTGCTGACTTTTACTCTCTTCCTTCAGCAATACTGCGCTGATAGTGGCAGGGCTAACGGCCACATATAGGTATAAAGTTTCTCCTTCAGCTGGGCTAGCCAGCGTTGGGAGTTCAGCCAGATGCTCCCGAAGCTGTTTAAAGGCGTCTTTTTGCTCTTCCTCCCAAACGAGCTCTTTTGTTTTCGGGAGTTTCAGGGCTTTGAAGAAAGGTAACCCCTTATCCGAAGCTCTGGAAATGAACCTCGAGAGGGCTGCCATTCTTCCGGTGAGCCGCTGAACATCCCGCTTCGTTTTCGGCTCAGGAAGGTCGAGTGCCGCTTTGACTTTAGAAGGATTGACATCAATCCCCCTTTTGCTGACCATGAACCCAAGGAATTTCCCTGACTTCACGCCGAAGACACACTTCTTCGGATTCAGCTTCATTTGATGCTTTCTCAAGGTGGCGAAAGTTTCAGCCAGGTCCTTTACATGGTCCTCTAGTTTTTTGCTTTTGACGATCAAATCATCAACATAGACTTCCATGTTTCGGCCCTTTTGATCGGCGAAAACTTGATCCACCAGCCTTTGATAGGTTGCCCCCGCATTTTTCAATCCGAAGGGCATCATTTTGTAATTGTACACCCCAGCGTTCGTGACGAATGCTGTCTTTGCTCGATCGTCGGGGTGCATAAAGATCTGATGATACCCCGAGAATGCGTCCATGAAACTAAGCAAGGCATGGCCACTTGTCGAATCGACTAGCTGATCGATCCTCGGCAAGGGATAGAAATCCTTTGGACAAGCCTTATTTAGGTCCGTGAAGTCAACGCACATCCTCGAGGTACCATTGGGCTTCTGAACCATCACCACATTTGCCAGCCATTCTGGATATTGGCAAGGTTCGATGAATCCTGCCTCCAATAATTTTTTTGACCTCGGTTGCGATGTCTCGGTTCTTATTGGCGGAGTAATTCCGCTTCTTTTGCTTAACTGGTCGACACGTCGGGTCAACATTAAGCTTATGGGAGATGAGGTCTGAACTTATCCCGGGCATATCAGCTGCCGAGAAAGCAAACACATCTCTGTTGTCCCGAAGGAGCTGAATAAGTTCACAACGGGTGTTCGGATCAAGGTCCATCCCGATTGTTACACATTTCTCACCGTCTCCTTCGGCCAACTCAACTGTTTCAGTCTGTTGGTCCATGTCCATTGCCGATGGACTGGACTCTTCAGAATCTGGCCTGCTGCCAATGTCAGCAGGTGTCCCAGTCTTTTTGTTCTTCGGCTGGCTCTCTGAGTCTTGCGGCTCAGCTGAAGAGCTAGCCTTTTCCCTTTCGGGCCCTTTTTCTCTGCGCACAGATCCTTGGGCCGAAGCACTTAGGCCTTTTGGCTTTTTTGTGCTTGGCTCTCTTTCTTTTTCTTTCTCCTCCTCATCCTTGTCGTCATCTGGGCGACTACTGGATGGCTTGAGGTAGTTGCACCTTCGGGCATCCTTTTGGTTGCCCTGTATCCTTTCGGGGAAGCCGGCGTCTGAGACGTAAATCATCAGCTGATGATAAGTTGAGACGACCCCTTGGATCTCGTGAATTATGGGTCTCCCCAAAATCACGTTGTACACTGAAGGAGTGTCGATGACCAAAAATTCAATCATGACGTTCCGGGCTGCCTCATCGCAACCGATGGTGACAGGAAGTGTCACCTTCCCATCTGGATAAGTTGAAGCCCCATTGAACCCGGATACCGGGTAGGGTACCGGCGTAAGGTGCTTGGGCTTCAGCTTAATTTGATTGTAGGCCTTTCGGAACAGAATGTTTGCTCCACTGCCACCGTCAACAAGGACCTTACTGACGTCGTGGTTGGCCACCGTGGCGATGATCACCAACGGATCCTCGTGAGGGAACGTAATCCCCCGGCAGTCGGCGGCTGTGAACGTCATGTTCGGCACCGGCGACTGGGGAGATTGAATGTCAGCGTTGTTCACCTGGTGAGTCAAAGCTCTAAGGTGGCGCTTATGCTCCCTCCGAGAGTATATTCCTCCCGAGATAACATTGATCGGAGGGAATTTCCCCTCCGGCTTTTTACTGTTTTTCCGGGGGAAGTCGAGGTCCTGCCGAGAGTCCTTTGCTGACCTCTCGGATTCTTTTTTCTCGCGGTGATCCGCGATGTATTTTTTCAAGTATCCCTTCTGGACCATGTCCTCTATCTGGTCCTTCAGTTGGATACACTCCTTAGTGTTATGTCCCGAAGACTCGTGGAACTCGCACCACTGATTTTTATTTTTTCGCTGATACCACTCTGGGAGTGGTCTCGGCTTTCGGTAACTCTGCTCCTCCTTCGTCACGCTGTAAATTTTGGCGCGTGGAAGAGAGAGCGGAGTGTAGGACTCGTATCTGCCTGTGTATGAGGCAGATCTTTCCTTCTTTGGGTCGATGGCCAAAGATTGCTCCGGGGCCTTTGACTTTCCCTTTGCCTTATGGCCTTGGCCTTCAGACAAGGGTATTTGTCTCTGTTTCCCTCCCCCGAATTGAGGTTGGGTTTTCGCTTTGTTCCATTCTTCGGCTCGGATGAACTTATCCGAAGCATTAAGAGCTTCCTCCAAGGTCTGCGGGGTATGCATGACCATGAAGTCTAGGAACTTTCCGGGCTGAAGGCCATTCTGCATTGCGAAAACGGCTAGCCCCTGGTCCAGCTGGGAGACGCTTGATGACTCGTTACTGAAACGGGTCAGGTAGTCTCGGAGGCTTTCGGTTTCCCCCTGTTGCAGACTCATGAGCTCTGCGGTAGTCTTCTCTCGGCGGTTTGCCGTGGAAAACTTGCTCCTGAACTTGGAGGACAGATCATCCCACCCTGTTATGGAGCCTTGCCTTACTCCCTTGGAGATCCACGCTTGCGCGACCCCCTTGAGAGTGGTTGGGAAATATTTGCACCAAGTCGCCTCGGATCTGGGGCAAAGATGCATATGAGTCTCATACGAGGCCACGTGATCCTTCGGATCCGTGGTCCCGTCATATGTGATGTGCGACGGTATTTTAACCGTGGGTACGCGCTCTTCCAGTATCCATTGCTCGAATGGTGAACTGGCGGGTAGCATAACGGCCTTGCCCTTGTTCCTGGCCGAAGGGACCGCGCTCCGCCCTCTTAGAGAGGTAGGAGTGGTTTTCGTCCCTGGCTGGGAAGTCTGGGCCTCGGCTGCAGGGAACGAGAGGCGACTGTGCACGCTCGGTTCCTTGCCGCCGAGTCGGTCAAGGACACTTCTGCGAACAGTCTCAGGTTCTCGGTGAGTAGATTCTGGCCGAGAAGCTGAGCTGCTGCTCTTATGCGCTTCTGGTCTTGAGGATGAGGATCCTTTTAAAAATTGAGGGTTCGTTTTCCTCTGTTTTTCATTTTTCCAGGAATCCTCCTCCCACTCTTCCAGTTCCCGGAAGGAAGGAAGCTTCCCACCATCATGGTCTAACTTCCTCCGCTGATGCCGGGTATGCGGAGGAGTTCGATCACGAGGTGGTGGCATATTTTGTGCCCTCATCGCCTCCATGAGTACTGCCAGCGCTCTTGCCACCTCTTCCGAGCTGGGCCCCGTCAAAGGGGTCCTCGGCCGAGTGTGGGAATGAGGGCGCGCAGCCGATGGTTGGCTTTGGGACACTGAATGTGTCCTATGATCGGACTCACCCCTGCTAGACCGAGAGTGACTCGGCCTATAATGAGAGTCATGAATTACGGGAGATAGGGAATCCTCCTTGTATGGTCCTCCCCCCGAGCCGGCACCCTTGGGAGAGTTCCGGTCCGGCGAGGGTGATGGTGTAGGGGTTTTAGGCTTTTCGCCCGCTCCTTGATGGAGGCTTTTGCTCTTGCGGTTCTTAGCCATTGCTGCTAAGATAATTGCAAGATGATCTTGGTTAGGAATTTGGCTTAAAGATTTTTGAAAGTCTTCCCCACAGACGGCGCCAAATTGTTTCGGGTGAAAACAATGGGACCTTGCCGAAGGTCCGCTGAAACGGAGAAGGCTGGATTCGGTCCAAGTTATGTTGGGCCGAAGGTTTCCTGCACAGTAAACACACGTAAACTAGCCTCGGGGGTGTTGCCGAGGAAGGCCCCTCCGATGCTAAAGTCAGTACAATATGTAAGAAGAGGACACTATGCAAGAGAGTTTGTTGCTTGAGGCTTTAATGGAATATATCAGAATATATCAATGAACATATGAATGAACATATGAATGAACCTATGAATGAACATATGAATGTATCAATATTGATGGCTTTTATACCTCATCATACATGGAGAGGTTGGGCCTTAGCCCAATTGGCTTGCTTTGTGGGCTGACCTTTGACTTTAGCACAATTGGAGAGTTGAACCTTGACCTTGGGCTTTTAATTGGATCATTTAATATCTAGGTCCAATTGGACTAAATTGGACCCAAACACCACCTTAATAGCTTGCTTAAATAGAAAATCAAAATGAATTTCATAATTGGTAATGTATTCCCTTTGTCCCATTTGTTTGTCATATTGGACTTATTATAGTATTCAGTACGGAGTAGCTTTTTAAAATAAATATCTCCAATTTTGTACTTGCTATAATTTTTAAAATTATGATATTCTTAAAGTAGTCATTGTAACAAATTTAACAAGATTTCACTTGACTACTCGGTTTTGATCTAATAGTACTAATCTAATACGGAGTATATTGTTAATTTGCTATTGACAAATCTCAGACCCTACGGTACTGCAATTCTTAATCGCAAAGAATCAGTAGCTAATTACAAATAATCTAGTTGATTATTGTCTCTGTTAGACTTTAGATGATCAACAATGTGTTACAACCTTTAAACTTGATAACGAGTTATGATTAGGCTGTTGAATTTACGTGTATAGTTGCATTGCGCAGGCTAAAGATGTTACCAAAAAAGATAGCTTATGTGTATATCCAAGCAGTCCATCATCTGCTCTTGGCATAGTTGCTGCATTATTTATACTAGCTGAGCAAATCGTTATTAGTGCTGCTACTTACTGCTTTTGCTGCTGTGGACTACGTTGTTCTGCTCGTTGCACTGTTATAAGCTCATTACTCTTCTTCATCGGCTCCTGGTATGTTATAACTTATAAGCTCATTACAAGGCCAGTTTATTTGTCAATGCATAGTTATGAGGGATTGTGTCGTGACAACTAATTCTGGATGAAGGGATTGTAAGCTTAACTTAATCATGGTCCGTTGTGCACAAGATTTTTACACTTATTTTGGTATGTATTGCAGGTTCACTTTTCTGGTAACGTTCATTGGATTGATATATACAGCGATCCTTGACAACACCAGTTTCCTAGCAAAAACCTATACCAGAGGAAACAGTGACAGTTGTGGAGTGGGCAATGAGAATTTGTTCCTTGGGGCTGCATATTGGTGCATAATTAGCACCGTTGTAGGTCTGGTATCATATGCTTTCTGGGCGTGTGGTGCTGCTAAAACAAACAATAATAACCAAGGCCGCGCTTTTGATCATGAGCATGGTGTTGCTATGGGAGAACCTCAGATGCAGCAACCGAAGGAATAACTTAGATAATTAATGTGATGCTGGCTGAGTGGTTGGTATCCTGTATAGCTCAAGATCAATCCAAGGGTAGTAAAATTGTTGTAAGCTGTAAAGATCATTTCATCTTTTATCCTATTTGTAGTTTAGCAAATGTTATATCAAATAGAATGTTGAACAAATCTCTTACAGTCTTTACTTATCAAATGACATACAACATTTTTTTTCCTACATATCTCGAATTCTAAGAATTGTGAACAGCTAACTGCTAACAACTCGAATTCTAAGCATTGTCGAACAGCTAACTGCTAACAATTGACTGCTTATTGACGAATAAAGTTTGTGTATATATTCGAATAAAGCATAAATAAATTCTTCATCAAATAATTTTTTTTCTCCAAATTCCAATTGCAACAAGGTTTAGCCTTACACTGACTATACCTTTTACGGAGTATTTTTTATATATGAGAAACATCTATTAAATCATGTTTAAAACTTATCTTTTTACACTTTTGACCAACTTTAACTTTACTAGCCATCTAAATTTGATTGATCACATTTTCTTCTTTTTTGTCCGTGTTAACTACTCGTATATAATTAGGAAAGTTTTAAGTTCTAACCATTTTGAGCTATCATTCACTCTTTACAAGTATAACTTAAAACTTTAAATTAAAATAATAACTCTTGTAATGATGCGTAGTTGGCCATCATATAAAGTAAACCGTGTTAAAGAATTTGCTTTAATTCCAAAGAAAAAAAATGCTTTGAGGCCCAAAATAAATACTAGTAGTGGATCATTTCATAAATGCAAGCGGGCCCATTTTAAAACAAGTTGATTAGCGTTTCAACGAACATACAAACCGCGTAATACAAGTCTGCTTCCTTCTCCCACTACGCACAATAATTGGTATACACTAGACCCTAGTGTAGGTAGGGATACCTACACCCCCTCTAAACGATGCGTTTATCATGTTACCCACATCCCATAACCCACTAACCTACTGTAACTACCCACCATTCTCTCTAAAACCTTCTTCTTCATTTCTCTAGACTTTCTCTCTCATCAAAACCAGAAAATATGAACCAAAATTGCTTCAAAATACTACAAAATTGCTTCAAAATACTACGAAATTGCTTCAAAATATTGCTAAATTCCTTCAAATGTCTACATTTGCGAAGAAATTCAACAATCGCAACAACATTCACAGAAAGAGTAAGTAATTTTACTAAATTTTTTTGTATGAACCTATTTTTTCTACTACGTATTTCATTTTGAAATTACATGTTCAGAAACATAATCTAACTTGATTAGAACTATTTTATGCAAAAATCATTAAAATCTACTATGTTTTGTGTTTTTATTTTTTTTTTTACAGAACCGAAAAATATATTTCGAATTAGAGAGATAAAGAGAATGATGATTCAGAGAAGAATCATGTTCGTTGAACATAACAAGGCATAGTCTGAAGAAACGTAAGTATTATTTCAAAAACCTATTTAAACAAGAGTAGAAATTTTTTAAAAAAAAAACAACGAACAAAAGTCTCAAGTTGTAGATCTAGAACTTTTAAAAGATATTAAAAAGTCTTATGGTATAGATGTTAACATTTCTACGATTCCGAGTTAATATATGAACATATATAGAATTATAAATGTTCATTTGTATATTTGAATTTATTTGAGTTTATATTTGACTTTATAATGCCTAAATAAATAATGTTCATTTTTATGATATGTTATGCACATTTATGAAATGCATAAATAATCATTCATTTGAGTTGAGAAACTGACTTATTTATTCTATCAAATCTTTTTGATCATTTATGAAATTCATAATGTTCATTTACATATAAAGTAATGTTCATTTTAAAAATATATGTTAATATTGGTTCATTTCAGTTTACATATATATTTATATGCCTAAATAACGAATGTTCATTTCTTTTATACATTATCCTCATGTATAATATTGATAATGTTCATTTGTATGCATTAAAACTAATATCTTACAACCAATCTAGCTATATTGTAGTGATGTCCAAAGTTACACATTTGATATAAATTTGCACATGGAATTGAAGAATACGTAGTTGTTTTGGAGAAGATAAAATGGCTTAACCAACGCTGATTATACAAACTGCGGAGTATAAATTATGAAGCATATAGAAACATTCACTACTAAACTTAATGAGAGTTAGATTTGTGATTTGAAACCAAATAGTGTAAAAGTGATAAATGTTCAATAATGTAAGATATATTGTTCATTTATAAAGTAGTGTATATAATAATTAACATTTGTTAATTCATTTTGTTCAACAGGTGAACCAAATTAGGAAGCAAGGATGCGGAACTGATGTTATTTGAAGAAAAAACACTAAATATAGGTTAAATCGAAGATAAGCAAGGAAGTTTGCAAATGAATAGTACATGTTATATGTTCATTTATGAAAGTGTATATGTTCATTAATGAATGTGTATATGATCATATCTTAATACTTCCTCCGTTTCTTTTTACTTGCAACACAGCCTTGTGGCACGTGTTTTTGAGGTCGGGTTTATGTAATGTAAACGGATAAATTATTCATTATAATTTTTACAAATGATACTTAACCCTATTCTAATCTTCGTGTAAAAATTATATTGATAAAATAGCTCGTTTACCCTCACTAATCATCTCCTAAAATTGTGTGCCTAAAAGGTGTGTTGCAAGTAAAAGAAAACGGAGGAAGTATATAGTTTTATAGATGATTTTTTTTGGAGGAAAATAGACTTATAGATTTTATTTGTTAAAAAAATTATTGGAATTGATATTTCATTTTAATCTTTATTTGTATGAAAAAAAATATATAATTTTTAGGTTTTATGAATTGGTTGTTTGGTTCTTTACTTTTGTTCATTTTCAAATTGATAAATAATCATTTACATATGTTGAATTTTTAAAAAAAACAATATACTAAAAAAGGTATTATATAGAAACAAATTCTTATGTCTTTAAACACTTGAAGAACTTTGAACAAGAGCACCTTGATCATTTATTGGAACCGTGGGAGGAATAACTTAAACATTTGTCGATTGAACATTTCTGGAATGGGGTTTAAACATTTCTAGATTTGAAGTTTGAAACAATCCTGAGTTGAAGTTGGAACAATGCCAAGAACTACGGGTGGAACAAAATATCTAGTTTGAGATTTTGTAGACGCATTAGTACTCTTGGATTAACTTGAGCATCATTTTTAACACCAGCACCACCTTTATTTATAGGAACATTACATTGAGCTTGAGCAGCAGAAACACCAGCAGCACTTTTATTTATAGGAATATTTAAATCCTTCGACTGCAAAACAAATTAAATGATCATATTAAAATATATAAATGTTCAATTACAAACACTTAAATAAACAGATAAGAAAAACAAAACTTTAGCAAGATATGAAATATCAGCTTTTTTTCCCACTGCACAAAGTTTTAATATACAATTATAAATGAACATAACAAGTTTCAAAAAATGATCATATTAAATCCTTTAAACACTAAATCCTTCGCCTTCAAATAAAAGTTAAATGATCATATTAAAATATATAAATGTTCAATTTCAAACACTTAAATAAACAGATAAGATCAAAACCTTAGCAAGATATGAAATATCAGTTTTTTTTCTCATTGCACAAAGTTTTAATATACAATTATAAATGAACATAACATGTTTCAAAAATGAACAATAATTAACAAATACAATGTTCAATAGCAAAATTGCACATGATCAATGTGGAAAATTTTGACACATAATATTATCAAAGAAAAAATGGTAAAAACAAATAATCATATATGACATAAAAAAATTAAGAAGTACAAATGATAACACATAATTGATTAATTTTAAATATAAAAATGATCCAAAAATAAATAAATAAATAAAAGCATACAAACAAAATCACGCAATTTTCAAACATAGAGCAATGAAATAAATTGAAGCAGCGAAATATTCATAACAAAGTATGAACAATCCAAAAACGTTCATCATAATCATAATCAAATTTTGAAAATTGAAGCAACGAAAAGAATAATAATACATAAATTAAGTTGAAATAAACAGAACATTATAACACAACAAAACAATGTATTGATGATAAAAATTACAAAATTATGATTGTAATTACTCACATTGTTGATGAACAAACGAATCAATCAATCGAACTCTAGAAGACGGAAACCCACTTTCGTAATCACGATCGAAATTAGCAGATGAAGAATCAGCCATTGATGATCAACAACAATTATCAAAATCGTAGGAAAAATAAACGGCAAAATTAGTATAAAATCAAATGAAGAAGATGAATTAACTAGAGAGAATGTAGGTAGAAAAATGGAAATTGATCAATTGAGGAGAGAGAAAATATTGGATTTAAAATCATTTATATACATAGCTTGAATAATAAGAAACAAGGAATTAAAAAAATTAAATAAAAAAAAGGAAAGAATTGAAGCATGAATTAGCTTGTGAGTACTCCCGCAAGCTACAAAACGGCGTAGCATCAGGGGGTGTAGGTAGACCATCCTACACTAGGATGTTAGGGTATAATTTTCAACCATGAAAAGCTTCTAAGCTCATTAAGATTATGGCTCAATTGACTTTCAGAAGGCCAGGAGAGCCATAGGCCCACAGATCCACAAGGCTTACAAAAAAAGTTCGACATAAAAGTCCTACAATTGTACTCGTACTGTCGTACAGTAGACTACTAATCCAATGATTATAATTGATAAAATGTCCTTTTCATAGGTGGAGCAATTGTTTTATTATCATTTTTATTATTTAAAAAAAATAAAAATCATTTTACCAAAATCCCATTGGATATTTTGAGTTGGATAGATATATGAACCACAATTAACTGTTGGATAAGATAATACAGTATCTTATTGGATATAGTCATATATGATATGACATGCATGATGCATAGGAATAGGATTTGGTGTTGAAACATTAATAATCCCTGTTTATTGGAATTTGTTATATACATCTTGGTCGCACCGTATACTCAACTAATTTAAGGTTATTTTTTTGCTCGTCATTTTGATAATTAAATGAAAAACAATCATCAAATGAGAGTCCTTAAAAAAAATCAAAATAAGAACAAAATACTCATAGATATACGATACACCCCGGGTGTATATAACAATCTCTCAGCATAGATTTCTTTTTATTTCATTAGTCATTATTCACCCACTATTTTAAATCTATGAATAACTTATGAGATGGTAGGTACACATGTTTTTGATTTGAGGCTTATCAAGGGTTGATCAAGTTTTCTGAATTAGATTAATCAAGGATCATAGATTCTAATATCCACATAAAGTCTCATTTCTTAATGTGGATCTAATATCCACATAAAGTCTCATTTCTAATGCGGATCTAAAGATCTTAAATGTTTAATAGGCTTATACTCGTAAATAATAGACACAAGAATTTTTTTTTTTTAAAAAAATTATTTTATAATTATATTCAATGATACAAAGAAAAATGATAACAATATTGATCAAATCATACCCCTTCCTTCACAACAAATTGTTTATGAGAACTAGAGTATAACACAAAGCATTAATTAAGTTTAATTGCCGCTGTGACCCTCTTTGATCTTTTCCTTGGCTTCCTTCTTCTTGTGATGCTCATGGAATGCAAATCCACCAGCTCCCACTGCGACCGTGGCTGCAATCTCCTCGCTGTCTTGTGGTGGTGAGCGTTCTCCGGGTCCTTCTTTGCCTTATGCTTCTCATGCTGTACATACGTAAGATGATTCACATGTTATATCACTTATATGGTCAAATTTGCTAGTACACTTGTTACCATAACAAATGAAATAGCATATACAAAGTAAAGTTTTTTTTAGACACGAAATAAAAAACACTCATTTTCACTTGTAACTATAACATATGCATAGCATGTACGAAGTAAATTCTTTTAGACACGAAATAAAAACCTAAGGTTAAGCCCCGTAATTAAGCCCAATCTACCACATACATATGAGTCATTGAAAACTAATTAACTAAAAATTAATTATTTTAATTTGTATAAAAAAAAGTGCATAGAGGGGAAACAATAAATCAATAATGTACCAAGGCATAAGCACCTGGCAGCGAGGGCAGTAGCCTTGCTAATGTGGCCAAGGTTTTTGTGATGCTTCAACTCCTGTTCGGAGATCCTTAGGCTCCTCGTCCTCCTTGTGACGGTGGGAAGAGGTGGTGGTGCTTTTTCTCCTCGCCATCGGCCATTGTTTTCTAATCAACTCACAAAATCAAAAAAAACTTTTTTTTTTGAGAATGTACTATTATGAATGATATAAATGTATCAAACTGATGATTTTTTTTTTCCTAGGAAACTTAAGGATATATATAGGCCACTTGAGCTAGATATTTTTGTTTCAATCATCTAGAAAAATCTTATGTTAATTAATGTTTGGTCATCAATCATACACCCACAGTACAACCAAAATTGACAATTCGTAAACCAAATAATTTAATGTGAACATATGTAACTTCCTGTATTACAATTGGCGCGTTATTTGGTCAATTTAATCTTAACCAATAAGCTTTGACTTTTAATTGGTTAATTAGTGGATAATTCATAAATTCCTTAGCGTTGATGGGTTACTTATACCTTAAGACTGAATAATTTATTCTCTCATGCTTTTTTTTTATTATCTTAATTGGTTAATTACGGAGTATAATACTCTTTCCATTCACATGCTTAGCCATCAGCTTGATTGATTAGTTGTTGAAATTTGAAGGTTTTTGGTCATCAATGACAAATCATGGTCATTTAATATAAAGTAGTAATTTAGTTTATTTATTTTTCATTTATGTTAAATGACTATTTCAATCAACAATTCAAGCTTATTATGGTTGAAGCCCGTGATGAATTTATACTCTATCAATATATATTTATAATACGAAGTATACCTTTTGACGATTTGTATTTTTTGAATAGAGATTTGATAGGGTAATGCCACAATTTGTAAAAATAACTTAAATATTAGTAAGGCCTTGTCTTTTGAGTTACTGCTATGCTATGCTCTACTTAATATAAATAAGTTGATCTGGTCTGCTCTGTTCTGTCCAAAAATTCCAAAAAAAAAAGGGGCCTAAGACTATAAGGGGGATGGCCGGGTTTGATTATTAAGGTTTAAAGTTATTTAGATTGTCCTTTTAAATTAAAGTTATTGAAATTCTTATCAACATTAATTGATACTAATCATACTTTCATATATGTCCTTCTCAGAGCCAAATAAACTGATTTTGAATATTTATTTTATTTATTGACAATGATCTATATAACTAATACTAAAGTAGCAACCGCTGACATCATTCTATTTTAAAATTAGACACATGTCATGTTGTCATTAAAAATTTTCCCTCCAAAACTATAAATGATGTCATCGTTTTGTGGATTTTAATTTATTTTATTAAAATTGTGGTCAGTTACATTATTATTAATATCAAATTATGAAAAATGGTCTATTCTCTTTAACAGTAATAATTTTTTTTCCTATAAAAAAAATAATAATAATTTAATTTTTCTTCCTTGGATACCCTTTTCATCATTCAATTTTTCTATTAGCTCTATTTTTTTATTATTATTTTTTTTAATATTTGATGTTTATTAGTTTTGGGAATATTTTTATTTTTAATTTTGGTATAAAAAATTAAATAAATTTAGAAAATTTTATTTGATCATCTGCACGAGACTAATCTAATTTTGAATATTTGTTGTTTCGTTTTTATTTTTCACAATCACTTAATATCTTTTTAAAAAACCAATTCTATTTTTTTAGTAGGGCCATAAGTCATAACAGTTGGATCCAGCTGAAATTCTTATTGGATATACACATGGTCTTTGGTTAATTTAATTAAGAAAAATTGACTATTTCTAATTATAGAATTATGATAGAACTCTCTTTTTTTTTTTTTTACAGGTAAGATACACAGGGAGCCCTTTCCTATCACAGAAAAAGAGGATGAAGTTCGAACCCCCGTTATAGGGGAGGAGATGGAGAGACTAACCATCCCTCCATCTCTTTGATACTCTAACTTTTCTTTTACTTATCGGATAGAACTAGTAGCAAATTAAATAAAAACCGGACCATCCACTGACCATTAAATTACGGAGTATCACAAATGAGTTAACTGATCATACATTCATACACGATTAATATTTAGACTTGACCCGAACATTTCATGTTAGTATAGACTAGATTAGATTTTTTTAGTATGGGTTTGGACTGACTTAGAATCATTATGAGCAATTGAGCATGTTTTAAACAAATTCGCGTTAAAATTAAATTGCAAATATTGTATCTGGCTGGCTAGTATATGAAAATTCTAATATAATCCTATAATTTTTTACTACCATTTTTTTTTAAAATGGACGGCTGAGATTGTTTATTTTATTTATTTATTTATCTTTAATTAGTAATTTTAATTAAATTATTTTTTAATTATTTTATAATTCTTTTAATTCTAGATTTCTGAAAATAATAAAAAAAAAATTCTAGAAGATAAAAATATATTTAAAATAATTAAAAAAAAAAAAAAAATGTCAACCGTTCATTTTTAAAAATTTGTGGAATCAAAAGTTATAAGACTACATTAGAATCATCAGGCTTATAAGAGTAATTTTAGTCATTTATTTAACTTCATCTAAATTATATTTTATCCAAAAAAGTAACTTCAATTAATGATGCGAGTATGCGACTAACTATAAATAAGAATTTATTTATAACGTCCCAACTTATATTTATAAAAATTTTATAAAAACTTATTGGATTTGTAGTCATGTCATGATAGAGCTTGAACATTTCACGGGCATATAACTATATAAGGCAAACTTTTTTTTTTTTTTGGTATTAATATTTCCTTGGTGCAAAATTACAATCACAATGACTAAATCAATTCACAGCAGAAAACAATTAAAATGTGAGATTATAAAGTCTTCTCCCATGTTTTCACAGCAAATTAAGAGTATTTATTAGAACAAAAATCAAACACACGGTTTAAATTTTAGTTTAATGACCACTCTCCGCCTCTTTGAGTTTTTCCTTGGCTTCCTTCTTCTTGTGATGTTCATGGAATGCAAACCCACCAGCTCCCACTGCAACCGTGGCTGCGATCGCCTCTACTTTCTTGTGGCGGTCAGCATTCTCTGGATCCTTCTTTGCCTTATGCTTCTCATGCTGTACATACATAAACACCATGTCACATATAGTCAATTTTTCTGCCTAATAACGTAAGTTTAAATCAAAGTTGTTACGATAACATATTAGCATATGCATAGTATATTATTATTTTGAGTTGCTTCAATGATGAAAAGTAAAAACTTGGTTAAGCCCCGAGATTATGCCTAATTTACCACATTCAATTCTTACTATATATCGAATGTCGTGGAGGCCATCTTAAGATTATTCATGGTATCGACCCAAAATGTGCATAAGCATAACGTACATATGATTATATGAATAAGATGAATAGGTAACGAAATTACGAAAAATGTACGTACCAAGGCATAAGCACCAGCAGCAACGGCAGTAGCCTTGCTAACGTGTCCAAGGACCTTGTGATGCTTCAACTCCTGTTCGGGGTCCTTAGGCTCCTCATCTGCCTCCTCCTTGTGGCGGTGGAAGAAGTGGTGGTGCTTTTTCTCCTCGCTATCAGACATAACTTCAAATTATATCAGCTTACAAAATTAAATACTTTTTAATGATCGAGAAGATATACAATACTTGTAATATTATTATGTCAGCTGATGAATTTTTTTCTTAAAACCTTAGGGTTATATATAGACCTATAAAGCTACATATTTTTGCTTTCGTTATTATTATTTAGAATATAAACAATTAAAAAAACTTAGTCTAGTGGATTAAGGAGAGGAAAATGTCAAGTCGTCGATTATACACCGGCCACAACCAAAATTGACAATTCTCATAAACATAAACATGTTCATCATCGTGTATAGTAGTACTCCCTAAATAACTTAGTATAAGCTATCATTATTAACTTAATCAATTAAATTATGACTTTTATGTCATTGTGTTGCCTGGCTAATCTCAATTAAGCATATATATACTGTACTTTTTTCTAAGTGGATAACACCTCCATGTTGAATGGTTCCTTGTACACATGGATTGCGACTAAATTATAGTCTCATGTCTAAATTAATCTTAATTTAATATATTAGAATATATAATACTCCTTTCAAATTATTAGCCATCAGCTTAATTGGTTGTTAAAAAAGGTGTTCTGTCATCAACTACAAACCATGGGCATCAATGGATAATTTTTAAGGGTTTTGCTACACAGTATTAATTTGTATATACGTAATAAAGTATAAATTATCTTTTGTGTAACAATTAATTTAATTGATTAAAATTTTGGAGGACGATACTTAATACATTATATATATGTGAGATCAAATGACTATGTCATTTGTAACTCTTTCCTTGCCAAAAAATTTGAAATAATAATAATAATATAATCTTCCTCCCTAACATATAAACACAGTACAAAGGGACAAATTAAAAGAATCAACTTGGTTTAAAAAAGTCGTCATCACCGAGTTCTACTAATCAATGTACAGCATGTTTCATAAAACATGTTAGTGAGCATTTTGTTGAACAGTTTGTTGAAATTTCAAATAGTAGTTTTGCTGTTCTAAGACACTTTCATTTTTCTCACCCAAAATAGGGGGATCTCTTGTGAATTAGTCTAGATTGAGTCGCATAGCAAGCAAAACTAGGTATAATCACAAATTATGACTATGAAATAAGATTTTTGTTTAACTAAATCATGAAATGAGAAAATCTAATTAATATCTACTTGATCATATTTTATTTTAATTGCTAATTAAGTCTTAATTATTAACTTTATGTAGTGTGATTTTATCACGTATTCAACTAAGTGCTCATTAATAAAATGTACATCTAGAGGAGAAAATAACGGTTCTACAATTCTACATCTCACATGTATGTTGGTGTATGGTTGTGTGCATGTCATGCATCCGTGAATAATGCGCCACAAGTTGGCTAGTGAGTGAATTGTTGTGATGAGACTCACATTAGCGAGAAGTTATAGTCCTTGCCTTGTACAGTTATACTTGTCTTATGAAATGATGAAATATTATATATATATATATATGTACATGGATGCACCAAGGGCATATTCTACTCATTTTATATTATTTTGCTCATTTTAAAAATGTTTTTAAAACAAAACAAATAAGTTAAAAAAAAAAAATTACCTACTCTTGGACGCACCTACCTAAGTGCACTCACGCCACTCAATGTACATTAAAGATTTTTTGTAAAATGAGGAGAAACAAGATGATGAAGAGTCCAATCAAAGGAGGAAATCGTAGCCAACAATGCAATCGGCTTGCTGCATTGCTGGCCCATAACAGCCTAAATGGGCTTTTCTCTTTTACCAATTATACAAATATTTTAGGCTCATTGCAGGTCAGATAGGATCTACCTACAAGAGATTTTGGCCTACTAATTAAGATTGTAACAAGATTGAGGGCCTGTGTGTATGAAAAGTGTGGGTTCAAATCTCTTTTTCTTGTTTTTTTTTTTGGTGGGACAGGATCCTTAATGTAATTAGTATAAAAAAAAATACAGTCTAAAGTTTATGATTGACCACTTCATTTCATTCGAGTATTACTTCTCTACATATGAACTCGATGTGCTACTACTTAATCAATCGATTATCAATGAGGTTCTGGCATTAGGTTAAGACTGATGACTTATGTGTGATAAGTTACGGGTTCAAATCTGTCCACCCTGTTTATAGTTTGTGTTGTTCTTATGACTCATTGTTGAAGAATAGACCTTCCAAATATCACCACATATAAGTGTCCTTTATTGGTTGAAGAAGAGAGACTTAAACACTTTATAAGGTTAAGGGGCTACTCCTCCTATTGCCATATGGTTTTGGGATGGAACCTCCTTTGATCCTGTGAAGTTAACTTTCTCTCTTGGTTTGCGGGTGCAGCCCATTTCTGTATTTAACACTCATTTAAAGTATATAACTTGAGAGGTGATACATGGAGTAACTAATATAATCGTCGTACACTCGTACCAGCTAAAGTAATGTATCAACAGGCTCTAAAAAAGAAAAATTGAGATAGTACTTTATTTAGCTTATGCCTCTACCGTTGGTTTAATATTGACCTAATTATCCTATCTAGCTACTTGATCACGAGATTCCTCAACCTACCTTGCTTGTTATCTTCCATTCTTCACCTACCATTATTATACCCTAAAATTATTTCAACCTTAATCTCTATCTAAAAAAAACTATGCAATAAAAATGATCCTAATATAATATGGCATATGATCCGTACAATGAGCACTCACGTAGTAATTATATATAAACCAAAGTAACATGTAAAATATGTCACTGCCCAAAACTTCCAAAGCCAAAATATAACATCAAACAATAAACTTGTACTATATAATTCAAAATGGTTGTCCAAGGAGAAATTGTTTGTGTTACTGGTGCAGCTGGGTTCATAGGTTCATGGCTTATCAAAAGGCTCCTCGAGCATGGCTACATCGTCCGAGCTACTGTTCGAGACCCTGGTCTTTTTACTAGCTATACTACTAAGTTACTAGTGTTATTCCTACATGCAAATATATTTGTATAGATTATACACTTACTAAATTTATGGTTTGTCTTGAAAATAATTTTGCAGGTAACATGAAAAAAGTACAGCATTTGTTGGATTTGCCAAACGCAACGACTCACTTGACACTATGGAAAGCAGACCTTAATGAAGAAGGAAGCTTCGACGAAGCCATTAATGGTTGCACCGGCACCTTTCATGTTGCCACCCCTATGGACTTTGATTCCAATGATCCTGAGGTTAATTAATCAGCCCCCCTATTTAAATCATACTACAACTTTTACCTAAGAACTTCGAGTTGACACTTATAAAATTGTGTTTATTACATGTTATGTTTAGTTTCTAATGGTTTGGGTGTTATTTTGGTTACAGAATGAGGTAATTAAGCCTACCATAAACGGCATGTTAGACATAATGAAATCATGCATCAAGGCGAAAATTCGGAGATTGGTTTTCACATCATCTGCAGGAACTGTCAATGTAGAAGAAATCCAAAAACCTGTTTATGATGAAACTTGTTGGAGTGACATGGAATTTTTGCCGCTCTAAGAAGATGACCGGATGGGTAATTAACAGAGTAATTATTATCGATAATACAAATTAATTCCAAAACTTTTCAAGATTTTTATTTATTTACTTTATAACATGGTTTTATTATATGATTTCAGATGTATTTTGTATCTAAAACACTAGCAGAAAAAGCTGCATGGAAATTTGCTGCTGAGAATAATCTTGATTTTATCAGTATTATTCCACCTTTGGTAGTTGGACCTTTTATAACTCCAACAATGCCACCTAGTCTAATAACTGCGTTATCTCCCATTACAAGTAAGTACTAATTTGCTAGATTATTAGATAATTAATCATGTATTTTTGTGCCATTAAATAATTGTGGTTTGACATAATTTGTAGGAAATGAAGCTCATTATTCAATCATTAAGCAAGGTCAATTTGTGCATTTGGATGACCTTTGTATGGCTCATATATACTTGTATGAACATCCTAAGGCCGAGGGCCGTTACATAGCTTCTGCTTGTGATGCTACCATCTATGATATTGGAAAAATGTTGAGGGAGGAGTATCCAGAATACAATATACCCACCAAGTATGTAGCAATTACTCCTTATGATGTAATGTAACACGTTTTATCTCTAGGGTTTTAAGGAGCAGTATTCTCTCTGCCCTTTCTACCCCACTTTCAAAAAAATTCATTGTTGTTATGAGCTAAATTGAACTGTGAGAGGTCGTTTCTAATTAAGGTCTCATTGTCACTAGCTAATAATTTAAAATTGAATTCAAGGCTTAAACTGCAATGTGAACAAGAATATTTCAATTGACCTAGCTAAAAAAAAGTATGTTTTGGTTGTAGTTCTCTAAACTTCTACTCCATATTTTACTAGGTTTGAAGGGAGATAAACTTGTTCTCCTAAATATTTTTATTTGAATGATCCTTCAATTTTTTAACTTATTCAATGAACTATTGGACAGATTTAAGGATTTTGAAGAAGATATGGAATGTGCATTTTTCTTCTGAAAAGCTTATGGGACTAAATTTCAAATTCAAGTACGGATTGAAGGACATGTACAAAGGAGCTGTAGAGACTTGCAGAACAAAGGGACTTCTCCCTCCTTCCTTTCAAAATGAAAATTATGAGAATTAAATTAAATTAATTATGAGAGCTAGCTAGAAAATCTTGAATTAATACCATCATTAAGCATGGATTTCGCAAATTAAACTAAAATTAGTGTGTGGCTCGCGCGGGCGATGCCCCGAGTTGCTAGTTGTACCTGTTTAATTTAATAATGACGTTCGATTGTTTTTTCAGATAGGAGAACCATATTCAATATTTTGTATGTTATGATTAAAAGATATTCAACTATTGACTATTTAATAGAAAATTTATATCTTGTCCAAGTTAACTATAATTTTGTTAAGTAAAAATGCACAATATACAAATAGCTAAAGTGGCAAAACATGCATGTAACGTAATACACAGTACGTACTTGTTAGTGAGGAGTCCAACTCTTTTTTTATAGTGCTTAAAGGGGTAACGGGTGGCACATGTTGATGACGTGGCACGTTTTAGAGAACAGAATAATACATGACACATATTCTGTATTAGAAACACTTTTTGTATAAGGA